CTGAAAGATCTGAAGACTTGTCTGCAGTACTGATCATTAGATGGTCTAAACAGGTGTTGCACTGTGGGAACCCCTCAGCACCACAGAATTACACTGTCCTATGCTATGATACACAACTCTAACAGCTGTATTCTCCTGTCTCTCACACAGGTCTCCCAGCAAGAGAAGAGGCCCTGTGCCCAAGAATGGAAGGCACTCTAGACCCTTAACAAAAAGCACCACAGCAGTCAAATCAAGAAAGGTAAGGACAAGCCATTGGTATTGAAAGATTTAGAGTCTAGCTTGGACTTTGGCAGTGGGAAGAGAACAGTTTTCAAATACAGCGTGTGACCATCTTAAATAAAAATGCCGGTTGTTATTGGTGCTTTCCAGCTGTCTGAGTGGATGGTTGAAGGATACAGAAGGAAAAGTGGAGATCCTTCTACTTTTAGCAATATCACCCCAAACCTTACCCATTATCACCTCCTAATGCTAACACACCTATTCACATGGTAGTTATATTATAACACCTGCTTTCCACACCATCTATTTCCTTTAAAAACCCAACCAAACAAAAACAAATGCCCTGATGATCAGAGCTTAAACATAAAGATAGGATGGCAGGTCTTCTTATGGGAGAACTATCAGGAAGAGGTTAACTGCAGGCTTTGGGTGTGAACAGGGGGAACACTTGCTCCTTGCTCCACTTATCCATGCAAGCTCCAGAACAGCACCTAAGCTGGTCAGCCTTTACAGTGTCTGCAAAAGAGATACAGAAAACAATATGCCAAAGGAAACAATTTTACCTATTTAAAAGAAAATTTCCATTTCTAGTTATTGCAAGGTTGCATTCAGGTTCCAATCTGCTACGCAGAGGCATCAGCTACTGACTCGGAATTGTGGCAATAAGGAAATTCTTCATTTTCTAAAAGACGGGGTGGGTATTTTTCCCAGCTCCACAGCACATGTTTTCCAGTTGCCTACGTTTTCATTTGCCAAATACAGCAACATCATATCTACATCTGTTCTGCCCTCCCTACAGAGGATAATCCACTCCCATAAACATTCTGTCAAAGAAAAGCAGACAGCAGATATGATTTCTTGGAGATCCTCTAAAATTTATATCTGAATTACTTGAGAGGCCAGCTCTAGCTTCTACGTTATGCTAACATACACACTCCTGTATCTCATGCTACTAGAAGTTTAAAGCAAACGGCACTAGCTGCACATAAGGCTTTCTTTCAAGTGAACATTAGAAAATATTGGCATACACTAGATGTTTCCATGCCTGACTAACAAAAGAGTGTTTTCTGTGCCCGTATACAAAACAGAACACTTGTACAAGGAATATTCATATCCCTCACATGCTTCCTGGTAAACCAGTGCTAAAAATACATACCGGTCCTTAAGGGTTAATGAGGTGTGTTTAGAGTCACAAAAACCACCGTACCTCAGTCCCCCTCCTAGTTCGCAGCGCGTAGGCTTATACCCACAGAAAAGGGGCAGCACAGGGCTTGAAGACAATGGATTTAAGTCAAACAGAGAAGCAAATGGATTCTCTGTTCAAAACAGCAGCATGCCCTTGAACAGCATCAGAAAGTGCGATGGCACCATTTGGAAAATACTATGCATCCCTGCTGGAAATGATAACGTGGTGATTTCTGAGAAGTACGCCAAGTTTATTTTGAAGTAAGAGTAGAAATCTTATACTAATTAATGGAAAGCGTAGCACCATGTTATCTTACTGGCATAATCTTTCTCTGCTTCTAGGAACAAAGATACCGTAAGATGTTCAACTCCAGCACAAACTCCTCGGGAAACAACTGCAGTCACAGCACAGTGATAACTAAGACAGTCCTTCCCCTGGTCTACTGTTTAATTTTCATAGTAGGACTCTTGCTGAACGGCGTGGCAGCATGGATCTTTCTGTACGTTTCTAGCAAAAAGAGTTTTATTGTCTACCTGAAAAACATCGTTGTTGCCGATCTCCTAATGAGCTTGACATTTCCTTTCAAAATTCTTGCCGATTCACAAATTGCACCTCCACAGCTCAACACGTTTGTGTGCAGATACTCTGCTGTTGTCTTCTATACAAACATGTATATTGGGATAGCATTTTTTGGCCTCATAAGTTTTGACAGATACTACAAAATTGTAAAGCCTTTATTCACCTCCTTTGTTCACACAGTTAACTACAGTAAGTTGGTCTCTATCATCATATGGTTATTGTTAATGCTTTTATCACTTCCAAATATGATTTTAACTAATGAAATCACTACAGAAAGTTATTCCACAAAATGTATAGGTCTTAAAAGTGAGCTTGGCAGACAGTGGCACAAGGCGTCAAGTTACATTTGCACAGGGATATTCTGGGTCGTTTTTCTTCTGCTAATCATTTTTTACACTTCTATATCAAAAAAAATATATAGCTCTTACAAAAAATTCAGAAGGAACTCAGATGTGACCAAGAGAAAAATCAGCCGTAATATATTCAGTATCATGTTTGTATTTGTCATTTGCTTTGTACCCTACCACCTCTGCAGAATACCCTACACTCTAAGTCAAACTAGCTCACAATTCAACTGCCAGTCAAAAAAAACTCTGTTCTACGCAAAGGAGTTCACTCTTGTACTGTCTGCTGCAAATGTGTGCCTTGATCCCATTATTTATTTTTTCCTCTGCCTACCCTTTAAAGAAAAGCTGTATGAAAAGCTGCATCTCAAGCTGAAAACTTCAAGCGAGGTTGAAATTTCTAAATCCAGAAGATCAAATACACTTCGGGAAAGTATAAACATACTGTAGGTTCAGGTCTGTAAAATAATGCACATTTCAGAAAGTTATTCAAGAATTCAAGTCTCAAAGAAACTAAACAGATGAGAAGCAGCAATAAACCAGAAAAAAGGTTTTAGCATAAAATACCAAGTGGTGTTTCTCTGTAGAAAAACATCATTGCATGTTGCCAATGTATTTACTACGTGCTATTTCGGCTGATGCTATGATTGCATTGTGGTGTGATGTGACCTATCTGGACCTCAAAAAAAGAGAGGAATAACTGGAATAACACATTGTGGAGCTCCAGGCCACGGTTCTCCGAACGGATTATCCAACAGACCCAATAATCAAACCAATTTGCTGTTGTTTCGCGCAAAGCCGGGCACGACACACGTGATGGACAACAAACCAGCCTGAAGGGCCAGGGAACAACTGATAGCTCCACCTCGGCCGGAGCAGACCCCTCCGAAGGAATAGGATGGAGTTCAGCACAAGTGTCTCCGACTTGGCCTCCACCAGCCCGGAAAAGAGGACTGAGACCCTGAGGGGAAGCCCTCTCGTGCATTTACCAGCTCACAGAGCAAAGCACTGAAGGCAACACGCAGCTTAAGGAAGGACTCTATTCCAACAACTGGGGAAAAAAAGAAAAAAGATTTAAGAAAAAAAAAAAACAGATCAAATTCTCAAAGATCTGCACAGGGCCTGAAAAACCCTTGGTAAAATTTTTATAGATATTTTATATATATATATGTATATGATTTCTTAAGGGAAACATTCTATAAAATTAAGAATTAAACATGATTATTTGTCACCCTTAGGCACCAAATGTCAGAGTACTTCTATAAAATGCGCTGCTCCATATAAGAAAGTGTTTAAAGAGGATCCTTCTATAAACTAAATAGCACAGTCACACTGTACCATATTCCTCAGGACCTTTCTGAAATAACATGGTGTACACCAATAATGTTTCTATTGAACTGACTGAGAA